CATTTGCATAATGTTTTGCTACATCTTATATATTCTATATACGTATATGTGTATGTGTTGTGCCGAGTGTGTCTCTAAGTGTGTTTCTATGTGTGCTTATGAGTTTCTATCGTAAGTTATAAATATAAAGTTAAGTTTAATTGTTACTACACAAATGTGTTAGGAAAACATTGATTAAATGATATTGCAGTGGCTATATACCATAGATGTGAGTATAGTACTTTACAAACAATTACGAGAGATACGCGATAGTTTAGAAAGTTTTCGTCTAACTGAATTATGTCAAAAAATAATGTAAAGTCACCCCTAAAATCATCGAAGCAACTGCAACAATAACAAAGCAAAGCAGAGTAAAATAATAAATAATTTTTTGTCATTCGATCGTTGCAACATCAATGAATTGAAAATGTATCGAACTGAAGTTAAAAAATGTGTAAAATAAAAAAAAAAATTGTTAATAGTAGAAATTTTCAGAGAAGGGGCGGAGCTTGTTGGTTTTCCTGCATAATAGTTATGAAAAGAAATTGATTGCACTTTCGATGATTTTTTTTTTGAGGGAAATTTTGTGATTTTTGATATTTTAGGGTGTTTTATGGTGTTTTTGTGTTGTTTTTCTTTTTTAATCAATAGAAAATTTTGTGAAAAATGTTAAAATTTTTTTGAAAATTTTGTATGACAATAAAAGTGCAACGCGCATTACATGAACGAGGCGAGGGGTGTTCGCTCAAATTTCGATTTAAGGTTGATAAGTGTGGTTGGCGCTATACAACCGCAGTGTGCATTATAGTTAAGTAACTAAAAAATTTAAGTAAAAAATAAATAAATAAGTAAATGGAAAAAAATTAAATTTTTGTGCAGTGATTTTTTTGCTGAATCATTCAGCCAGTATAAATCGACACGTTCCAAAGGATACACAAACGCGCATGTCAAAATAGTTCAAGTGCATTTTAATATAACTTTTCAAATTTTCAAATTAATTTTTTAATTATAATTGCATTAATGTTTTTGTGAAACGTGTGCAAGTTAAAAAAATAGAAAATTAATGATTTTGTTCAATTTACATAACTAAATAAAAAAAGTTTAAATTTGTAATTTTATGTGTGATTAATAAAAAGGAAATTTTTTTATATGTGTACGTAAAAGTTCAATAATATTAATATATTAATAATTAGTAATTATTATTAATAATTATTAATTGATAAATTTGAATTTAACTATATAAAAAAAATTATTTTTTAAATAAATTTAAATAATTTAACTCTTAAGGAAGCAAAATAAATTACGGATTTTTATTTGTTTTTTTTTTTTAAATAAAAAGTAAATTAAATTTTATGAAGTCAGTAACGCTCTTAAGTGGGCTTTACACAAGCTCTTATATTACACAGATTCATTATATATAAAGATACGTATAAACATAATTACTTGCAAATTTCATCTTCTTGCTTTACTTGTTTTGCACAACAACAACAACAACAACAACAACAATAATAATAATAATAACAACATCAAAAAGAAGAACAAGAACAAAAACAAAAACAGTAACAGCACGGGAAGCAATCTTACCCGTACAATTATTTTATGCTGTCAGCTAGAAGGATACCTTGTTTACACTGTTGCCATTTTCATTTAGTCAATTTTTTTCATTTTTTCTTAATACTTTTCGACTTTATTTTATTTTATTTGAGTACAAGCTCATCGAGAAGGAAAAAAAAATATAACTAAAATATAATCAAACTACCTTAGGCTTTACAAAAATTCCACAACCCAACTCCACCCAATCAGAAATTTACAAGCACACAGAAACACACACAACACACATACTCAACTGAATATTAACAGTTTTTCAAGCTAACTTTGTGTGCCCCCACTCTCTCCCACAACTCAGTCAACGTCAGGCAAAGCAATTGCAACCAACAAGCAGCAAGCAGCAAGTAAGCAAACCAAAGCCAACTCAACCAATTTCAACCATGGAAACTTAATTTATGTATGCAGCATAGTTGAGAATATATTTCTTCGTCTTACTTTCAAAAAAAAAAAAAACTAAATAATGAAAACCAAAAAAAAAAATATAAATAAAAACTAAAAAAAAAATATATATACAAAAAATTATACATAATATAAAATTTTTTCACTTTTTTCTTAAGAATCAAATTTATTTTACCAAGTCATGTTGAAGAAAATTTTTATAAGTTTTATGCATTGGGAGTGAGTCAATGGAGCGATTGAGTTTTGTACTGTGGAGAACAACAGATGGAGGAGGAAAGTGATGTGGTTTGGCAGGAGTGAGTGCGAAATAAGGAAAATTTGTATTCCTTAAATCGGATGACTTTGTATAAATTTGTGTGTAGTACAGCGAATAAAGCTGCTGTAGGCAGGAAAAAAAAATAAAATAAAATAAAAATTACAAACAAAAAAAAAAAATTACTGAAGAAAATTGTCTGAAATAAATAGTGTAGGCAACGGGGGGAAGGCTTACTAGGTTCTATTGCCAAAGAAGGTATACAAAATTTATGGGCGAGTATAATCAGCAAGTTTTCATAGAATTTGCAGAAAAATAATAATAGGAAAAATAAATTTCGGAAAATGGAAAACTATAAAATATATTTTAGTCACTTTCAACTATGTATGTACATAATGAAGGGAAATAATTTTTAGCAATATAATGGACTTCTTCTTTTAAACTTGCTAAAATAGATGATTATAGACTATAGTCGTATATATTATATATTTTTTAAATTAATATTTAATATATTAAATATAAAGTGTTTAATTATTAGTCAACTAATTAGCCCATTTTAAAATGTGTAAATTTGTGAAAATAATTAAAATTTATGTTAAATATCATCATAGTTTAAAGTTTATAATTTTTTATAACTTTCAAATATAAGCTGAGCCCTATATCACTGATAAAAAAAATAATCAGATTTACTCACTTATTGTAAAAAAACTGAAACTGTCTTTTCGCTTGACAGTCTATAGTATACCAATACTATTTAAACCACTCCTCTTCATCATTCTATAACCATTATTTTACTTCTATCTTGTATTTCAAGCGTTTTTATATCGTTGAATATTAAATCTTTGTGTCACCTATTAGGCACACTAATAAAAACTTATTTCATTGTTCCTTTAACATGCATACTTATTACATGTCCTAACCATGGCTAAGACTGGTCTTTTATTATTGGTTTTTCTATATCATAGTTGTTACAAATTCGTTGTAACCAAAAGGTAATATAAAGGTTGTAAAAGGTAATATATTTTTCACAAGATCTTTAGTTCATACATTGAAAAGTCGCATCATTACTTTTTAGTGTACAATATTCACATCCCTATGTAAGAATGGATCTATGAGATTTTGTAAGTGCATATATATTGAATATATAGAAATTGATAAATGTACATAGTAAGTTCTATACATATGTATATATGTATTTCTTTTTGAATTAGCACACTGAATCAAATGTATACATGCTTTTTTACAAAAATTTTTCATAAAATTTTTCATAAAATTTAAGAAACGTTACTCAGAATATATGAAACTTTTCGCAAATGTTTCTCTAATTTTATGAAACATGTTGTTGTAAAGCTTTTAATGTAATATTTCATTGTATCATAAATCTTATACGTTTGATAATACAATCTAATTGTTTTTCTCATCCTTAATTGTTTTTCTTATACGCTTTTTTCTGACTGCACCTACCTTAGGGTTAAGTGTCTTCTTTTTATTAACTTTTTTGATCATTCACGGATTATTAGCTACAATAAACACATCTTTGAGGTCTTCCTATATTTGAGCGCATCGTACATTTTGTTTTGGAATAGTTGAATTCGAATACTGAGCCTTTTATTTTCTATAGGCTATTTCTAAAGCTTGTCTGCTATTGGAAATCAGTGTGTTATCGTCAACGTAGGCTGAAATTTATATGTTACTATTAAAATCATTTGTTTTTGCGGTTTCAGATGCATTTCAACATATTAAACTTTAGCTTACTTAAAGATCTGCAAACGAAAAAAAATTGACCGTTTCTCGTTTGCGGTAAACGAAATATTTTTTTGAGTGTACATTCAGAGACATATTTCAATGCAGCTCAGTAAACACAGTTTCGAAGAACCTAAAAATACAATTAAATATTAATTAAATATTAATATTAAAGTATATTCCTCAATAATTTTTTGAGTGTACATTGAGAGACATGATTTGATATGTTTCAGTAAGAACAATTTTTAAGAACTTAAAAATACAACTAAATAAATAAATAATGAAAAAAAAATTAAAAATTAATAATAAAGGTCCTTAATAAACAAAGTTGTGGTTGCAAAGCTGTTCTCTTATTCTTCGTAACTCAATTTAACATTAATCAGAGGGCGAGAAGGAGAAAAAAAATAAAAATAAGAAACTAATAACGCCTGCAAGTTAATGTCAAGTCAATGTTGGCGAATAAATTTACCGTTAGGTTTGAATATTACTGTAGAAAACCCCTACAAAAAAAAATTAATAATAATAAATAACATAATATAATTGATTTATATTCAAAATCTAAAAAAAAATTGAACTTATTGTTTGTAATTTTTTTCTAAGTAATTTGAAATATAGTTTAATGTAATAGATTAGAAGCCTAAAATTCATTTATATTGGGTTTTCGCAGTTCGCAAAATAAAATATTTTTATACTATATAAATTAATAAGTTCTTCTTATTAGACCTATACTTTGCATGGTTTTTTTTAATTAAAAAATTTATTTAAAAATAAAAACTTTATGTATATGTATATAAAAATGTGTAAATTCTATTTTATACTTGCATGTATTTTAAATATTTTTTATATTATTTATATAAATTTCGAAAATTTGTTACATTATTATTAGCTTTGCAATACACTGCACCCTAAATTTTTTTGAATTAGCCACAAAAAAAGTTGATTAAATATTTTCATTAATTATAAATTAATTAATCAAGCTTTTGTATTGAATTTTTTTTCTTTTGTAGTAATAACAAATATGGCCGCATCGATTTATGCCACCCCACCGCCAGATTTAAGTAGTGAAGACACAGCACTTTCGGACGTATCGAATTCATCATCGCTGAATAATCGCAGTAACAACAGCAACAGTAACAGTAACAGTAACAACAACAACAACAACAACAATACAACAGATGATGCCGCTGCTACAGAAACACACACTACAACAACAAATAACAAAAAACCAAAGCGTACCATAGCAGATGTTTTAATGGATAACACAAGTCAGCCGCTACAACAACTTAAATCAAGTAATCTAAAACCCGCAAATACACTTGCAGATATGGGCAGCAGTGCAAATACAATATTGGCCACAAACGTCACTAATACCGACCTCACGTCCACACAGAATGCTACAGCAGCAATGGCTGCTGTTGCTGCAGCCGCTAATGCTGCTATGCAATTAAAACTATTGGAGGCTATCAGTGATGCTGCCAAAAAGAGACGTAAACAAAATAATCCTAGCCGCTTGGACGCGCTTAATGTAAGTGGTGAAGCGGCGGAAGGAAATGAAATAACAGATTGTACAGAGACGATGGATGAAAATTCGACAGATGATTTGAATGCCTCAACACTACCGATTGACTATGAGGAGCAATTGTCAAAAATGTTTTTACCAAAATCCATGGAACAACTTAAGGAAACATTTCACCTGTTACAACAGCAACAACAACAGCAACTACAGCAGCAACAACAACAACTTGAACAAATTAGGTCAGATAAACAAGCAAACATATCACCAATTCAGACTTTAAGTAGTAACCCTAAAGAAAAAACTGCCACTGAGGATAGTTTACATTTCTCACTCGTTAATGATGTTATGAAGAATCCTTATCAAACATATTGTAAGGAGTGTGGTGAGAATTTTGAAAATGAATTAAAACTAGGCGTGCATATGATACAAGAACATGGCACCATGAGCAATGAAAATGCTAATGGCATGCATTTGCGACAAAAAAACGATACGGGAACTTTTGACGCTTTACAACCGGTCAGTGTGAAAATAGAACGTCCTGATTTTGACAGTCCTTCGTCGTCACCACAAGCCCATGCATCAAATTCTCAACATGAAAATGCGCATTTAGCTCCCAATGGTAAAGAGCCTTGGATGAATTCATTACCCGGTATGACATTTCCATTTCCACCTGATGCTGCTGCAGCTGCTGCTTTGTCGGCAAGTGGTTATCTTCCATTGCTTGGTGTACCTGGTTTTCCTCCTGTTGATGGTCTCAATCGGCCACCTTTGAGAATATTCAATCCCGAAGCTTATTGCGATCTCTGCAATAAAGAATTTTGTAACAAATATTTTTTAAAGACGCACAAAGCCAACAAACATGGCATTTACGACCCGGCGATTTCCAGTACAAATGATATGGGGATGGGAAATAGTTCGGGCATGAATACAATGAATCCAATGTTTCAATTTCAAATACAACAACAACACATACAACAGCAACAACAAATCCAACAACATTTGCAGCAAAAACAACATTTGAATTTAGAAGTACAACAACAACAACAGCAGCAGCAACAACAGCAACAGCAGCAGCAACAACAACAGCAACAGCAGCAGCCACAGAATTTAATAGAAAATCCAACCAAATCAAACAATCAAAACAGTTCTTCATCACAAGCTCAAACCTCGCTTAATATACCTCAACAAATAACGCCACCGGCTCCTCCAACTATATATTGTGATCTTTGCTCAAAACGTTTCACTAATATTTTTGCCATGCGACGCCATCGCGCCAAGGCGCATGAGCAATCACTAACACAACGCAACAGTCCAAATGAACAACCACAGCAGTCCCCAGAAGCCACCGAAAAAGTACAAGACATAAAATCTGATACAACTGGGAATAGTTCCAGTTCAGAAACTAACATAAAACAATTCCAGATGCCAGAAGATTTTAGGCAAGATTTTACTCTAGAACAGGAAGAAGTATCGTTTACTCCACAACCACGTAAACTATCGCCACAATCGCAGCAACAGGCACGTGAGGCAAATTTTGCCCACGATAAACTTAAACGTTTAGGAGTGCTTAATCCAGAGGCATTCTGTGAGTTATGCTGCAAGGAATACTGCAATAAATACTTCCTACGCACACACAAGTGGAAAAGACATGGAATTTTCGTGCCTCCTGATGAACTCAAAGAAGACCAACTGCAATTAGCACAAAAATTTCCATGGGCATTAATGAATATGCCGGGTATGCCTCTGAATTTTATGATGGCGAGTGAAAAAGCTGTTATGGCACAACGTATGTTAGCTGCAGCTGCTGCAGCAAATAACTCTAATGATAGCATTCCGCATATGAGTAAGCGTATCAAGCTAGAATTGAATGATGACATTACTGATGAAAATCAAGACAACAAATCGGAAACTAATCGCGCACAAAGCGAACTGCAACAGCAAATGTCAGCAGTTAATATGACAACTATACAGGAATCGCAAAAAATACTCGGTGACACAAATCTTCCAGCGAGCCCTGAAGCGGCTATGGGTTTACAAAAGCTTCAAACTATGATACAGCAATGGAGTGATATGAATGGAAAACGTGCACTAAGTTGTCATATATGCGGTCGAGAGTTAGAGAATCAGTACGCTTTGCATGCTCACATGATGACAGAACATGCTGGTGGCATGGATGGTAACAATGCCATGCCATTGAGTTTCCAGCAACACATTTTTCAGCAACAACAAGCGCTAAAACTTTCACCCACAGGTTCTCCAGGCAGCCTGCCTTTAGGTAGTGACTTACGTTGCAATCAATGCGATCGAGATTTCAACACTTTGCAGGAATTTAAACAGCATTTCGCTGAAGTACATTTACTACCTGGCAGTCCACTTCGAGACGGTTTTGTAACACCTGAACGTCCTATCAATCCTAATTCTGCAGGTGGTACACGACCACTCTACACTATAACACCCACCAGCAGTTATTGTGAAATATGCAATAAGGAGCTCTGTAACAAATATTTCATGAAAACTCATATGCAACGTATGCACGGTATCGAAATTGAAAACGGCGCACAAATTGGTGGCGTGGTTTGCAACATCTGCAACAAGGAACTTTGCAGTAAATATTTTCTTAAAGTACACAAACAGAATACGCATGGTATTATGGAAGAGGGCTCTCCGTTGCCGCAACCCCGTCAGAATGGACTAGGTTTTGAGACACAACAACAACAACAGCAAATAATGGAAACCGAACTTGGACGTGGTGTAAGTTTAAGTCCATTTGGTGGTCCTTTAGGTAATATTGAAGTTAAGTCGGAAGCAACAGATGGACGTTATTACAATAATTATTCAGAAATATGTCCAATATGCACAAGACGATTCCGCAATGCAAAATGGTTGCGTGCGCATTTGCTGAGTGATCATGGAACAGCAGGTGTGGAGAAAGTACGCGAACTTGACCAACAAATGGAACAACTTAGTAAGCCGTCGAGTCCAACACTTAAAATACCAAATGGTGCAAGTTCTGGTGGATCGAGTAGTGCCAGTAATCTGGTGCCAAATCCAGCTAGTTTAGCACAAGCACTACAAAATCTAAATACACAACACTTGCTGAGCAATGTGCCAAAGAATGTGCTGCCAGGCATGTTCGGCAATGTTGCTGACCAAGCACAAACATATCAATGTTCAATGTGTCCCTTCACAACTCCCTATTATGCATTTCTATTCATACATGAACGTTCGCATTCGATACTAAATACAGGTGAAAATCCAAATATACAACAGGAAACGAATGCCAATGCGGAAAATGGTGATGAGAGTGCAACAATAAGTGAAATAAAAGAGAAAGAAGCAACAGAAACTGCGATTCCTTTATTGCAAGAAAAAACTGAAATGACCACAAAAACCAAAACTGAGGTTGAGAATATGGAAAACAGTACCGCAATCACAGAAATTAGAGATAAATTGGAAAATATGGTCGCGGAAATTGCTACAGAACCAAAAAATCTTTCTATACGTACAACTACACCTTTGGTTACTGAAATTGAGAATACAACAACTGCAGCAACAATTCAACCAACAGTGAAGGAAAAGGAAGTGGAGGTCAATGTTGCTGAGACATTAAACATAAAAACTGAAGAAGAGGATGGGTTGGTGGTAAATATGAGTTCACCAAATACCGTGAAAAATGCTAAACAACAGTCCGCCAATTTACGTTCAGCAGCAACTTCACCGGTAGTTGTTACACAAAATACTTTGCTACAGGAACACATGTTGCAGGACATTGCCAATGCAACAGGTAAGATAGCTTGTTTTGCTCTACCAAAAGGTATGGCTAACGCGGAGAAGCAACAAATGCAACCCTTTGTCATAGAATCCGTGCAACATGGCAGTGTAAACAAAAACGAAGCCAAGGACTCGGGTGAGCATGCAAATAATGACAGGTTTGTGCCAGCTATTATTTATTTACCAGTTAAGGAACGTGTAACAGGACCAATAACAGTGTCCTTTAACTTGACACCAGCTTAAAACACAAATAGTTTGCTAGTTGTATGTAAAAAGTATAGAAAGAAGCAAAATTTCGAGCACAAAATGTTGCCATTTCATTAATATGAGTATATTTTGTTAAATTGTGTATAATAGATTTGGTTATTCCTCTGTTATTTATTGTTTATATATTTTTGTTTTTGTTTAATTTATTCACTTTATTAATTATTTGTGTGCTTATTTGACAAAAAAAATTATATATATAAACTACAAAAGACTGAGTGCATAAATTAAACTAAAATATATTTATTTCATTAATTTTTGCTTTTTAAAATAAAAAATTTTTTTCAATTTATTCTTTGTAGTTGGCAACGCTGTGTGCTTTAAATTTAAACTTTTTTCGTTCATGTAATCTTAAGTGTTAAAACATCAAAGTTCCTACAACAAAATAAATCAAAATAATTTTTAAATTTATTATTATGATAAGTAACTAATAATATATACATATAAAAGAAATACGTATAAAGATTTACCGAAAATAAATAGCAAAAAATTAAGTAAAATCAATTAGGACAAGGGTGTACACTTGCGTAAAGTAGTAAAGCGCAAAAATTAAAAATCTTATATATATATTTATAAATATTTATATTTAAATATATATACATAAAAATATATATTACTCAATTATATATATTTAAACAAAAAATATTATAAATTAATAACGCAACAATTTACGTAGTTAAAAAAAAAATAAATATTAATGGAAAAATTTTATTTGTGTTAAAGAACTTCAAAAGAAGTACATTTTAAGATTTAAAAAAATGCTTTGCTCAAAGAAAGAAAATCAAAATTGATTCCACTAAGAATTTACAATTTCAAGTTAGTTAAGAATTTAAAAAATTTAACAATTTTTTTAGTTTAAATAATTACTTTAATTTACAAATACATTTTTGTTTAATTATATATATTTTCTACATATTTTAAATTAGAGAGTTTGTCTTTACCGACCTATTAAACTAGTTTAATGAGTTTTAATGACGTATGTAACAAGGTTTCATTTCAAAGTTCGTTTCAAGTTCGAAACATATTTAATGCAAAACCATTGTTTTCGAGAATGAAAGTGGTTAAATATACAAACGAATTTCAAATGCAAAGATACATTTAAATTTGTATAAGGCCACTATAACACGATCAAGCTTGTAAACGTTACACATAAATAAAAAAATTCTTCAAAGAGGGCAAAATATTGCCTTAAGAAAACTGGTTAACGCCCCATGGTATGTAAGAGGAGCTGATATCCACAGAGATCTGAGAGTGGATTCAGTTGAAAAATACATTAAAGATCGTGCTCTGAAACTATTCAATACAATTGACAGTCACAATAATCCAACACTCAGTATCCTAAAAATACAGCGAAATTTGATAAACACAGGCAGATACAAAGATATCAGATCCATCATATTATAAAGCCCCGTAAAGCCCCGTATTTAGTGTGACTTAAAATTGTCCACAGATAAAATAGAGTAAAGGTGCTGATTCACCAACTCAGACATCTGAATATCAATCTGAATATCAACTGACGAGTAATACAGAAAAAACTTTTTTTTTCCATCAAATGGACACGTACTTATATCGTATAAGGTTGTAATTCCCATCGTTTAAACGATAAAAATATTTAAGTTAATACACTCGTACCGGATTTTGTAAATAATAATTATTACTAAAGTAATAAATTATTTATATATAAATGTTATAAATTGTAATAAATTACTATTAAAGTTATCTTGGACTTTAAATAAATTAAATAAATATTTAATAACAATATCAATTATTATTCTTTAAAATAAAAATTCCCTTGTTAATGCGAAATATAGGCAAGAATACTACACCCATATTGTATATGGTTCGATGGATAATAGTAACTATGTCAGTAGTACATAGATTTTTTCTTCAATAGTTGGTCTACAAATTTTTTCAACAAATTGTGAATGGAATTATTACGCTACCATTTTAAATTTTGCATTAAAGTATTCATTTTTTATGATGAAATTATATACACATAACAAAAATTATTTACAATCGCTGATTTTTAAATTCGTTTAATCAGTGTGAAAACCACATTTTATTAAAACACTTCAAACAAATTTAAATCAGTTTAATTAAAATACTTTAAACAAATTTAAACCAGTTTAATTAAAACACTTCGAAAAAATTGAAACCAGTTCAATTAAAACACTAAATAAATTTAAACCAGTTTAATAAGTCGATGTGACTATAGCATTTACAATAAATAAACAAATATTTAATTCCTAATAGAATGATGATTTTTACTGTAAAATATACATATTTCCTCTTTAGAACTTAACACATTTTTAATAATTTTATTTTTAGTTTTTAGTATTTTTTTGGATATTTTTTAAATATCATAAAAAGAAATATAAACATTAATGGAAATTTGTATATAAACAAAATAGTGCACACCAACAAGGTACATTTTTTCTATTTAATATATAATAATCATAAAGTAAAAACAAATAAACATAAACTGCAAAATCTCAGGGCTAAAGAGTACAATTACAAATAGTACTTTTTTAGATATAAATTTTTATAATAACAAAGCATAAAAAATACAAATACACGTAATTTTAATAAAAACAAAGAAAATAGTTAAATATGAAAATCATATATATATATAAATATATAAATATATATAACTGCTACCTCAATATAATAAGAAAAACACGAACAATAATTTTTTAAAAATAAAAGAAATATTAGTAGAAAAAATAACAAAGGAATTAAAATATAACACAACTCCAAATAGAGTTTAAATAAAATATTTGTACGTACTTTTATCCCTAATATGATTTTACTTACTAAAAGATTAAAATTGATTTTATCTTTAATCCATTATTATTTTATTTTTAAAACTATTTTGATTAAATTTTTGTTTAAGTTAATTTTTTAAATTAAATTAAAAACAATGCCATTCCATATGAAATAAAAACAAAACGAAGAAAACTATATTAATAATAATTGTTAGTTATTAAAAAAAAAAATAATTAATAATACAACCGAGATCTTCAAAAATGTTTATAAATCTAGTCACTTGAAACCAAAATAGGAGTCTAACCTTTAGATTTCAGTATAATAGTGAATTAATCTAGTCAAAAGAATTTTGATCAGCCTTTAGTTATTAGCTAAGCGAATAACTTAAGGATTACTGAAGTTAAATTTAAAATTACATTCAATAAATATAATTTTAAATAATAAGATATAAAACTAAAACACTCATTCGGATCACTATAGTATATTAAAAAGTAAAATTAATTTGATTTCAATTTTTTTCATATTTTTTGTATATTTTGCTTAGTATTTAAGGTGTTTTAATGTGAATAAAATTAAAATCAAATTAATTTTATTTATAATTTTTTTTAACAAAGGTAAAATGACACGAGTGTTATACATAAATAACAGTGAAATTATTTAATTAGTTAAAGTGAGCAATGCAATTTTTATATAAAATTTATTAAATATTCTACAAAAAGCTGCGTGCCTTTTAATAATTGCAAAGCTCACAAATTTTTTATTTTAAATTTATTAAATAAATTTTAATTAATTTAATATTAATTTTTATAAAATTACTTAAGTTTAATTACTTATAATTTACAATTATAATTTATTTTTTAAGTATTATAATTTAAGCATATTATAAAACAAAAATAATAAAATAATAAATATATTTGTTAAAAGTTTAAAGCGTTTATTTTTTAAATTATTTTTTTATATACTTTAATTCTGGGATATGCCAAAAATAAATTTATTTTGTTTAATTTTCATTTAATTTATAATGGAATATTGTTTTTTTATTGTTATTTGTTTGTTATACAAGATCCAATTTCAATCGTGCATGTTCTTTAAGAGAAACAATAATCCTTATCATTTGAAAAGGATATCTTTAAACATTAAGAATTGTTAGGAAAACAAGAATTTGATATTTTCTTAAGGACATGCGCGTGTTGTACACACTTAAATTTTTTTCTTCACTAATATATCCTTTCTAATAAATAATTATACCCTAAAAAATTATACTCATATAAAATAAATAAAAAAACAATTCTTATTTTTATCTAAATACATATGTGCTTACCCCCCTGCTGTGCAAAAAATAAACAAAACCCAAAGAACACAATATGCCACGTTCAATTGTCAGCGGTTTTTTTAATTTTTTAAAATTTATTATTAATTGATTACTTTTTTTATGTCGTACCCGCTCTAATCTTAAAAATTCAAAAGATAAATATTGTTAGATGTCAAGATACCCTCATTCTTCAATGTAATAACGTCACAAAAGTAATGTCCCCTACTTTACTTTTTTAAGGGTATTTTTTTCTTCATTCTTTTTATTGAAAGAAACTTACACTTATACGGGCTAATAGACTTACTTCCGTGAATGTATCTTTTTATTGTTGAACTGTGTGAGAACTGCTGGTTTAACGCCTCTTAAGTTACAAATTTTATTGATCTTTAATTATTTTACAATTCTTTAAATTTGTTTTTGATATACCCAAAAAAATGTGTGGTTTAAAGTGATTAAATAATTTGATTGATTGAAAAGAGATCAAGATTCGATAAAGATCACAATGTTCACATTAATGCATTTTTAATTAATTAAAAAAAATTTATATATAATATATGTGGAGAAAATAAGGAAGAAAAAATGGTATAAGTTCAATTGTATAAAAGAATTTATTAATAGTAATATCAAAAATATTTTAAAAATATTTTTTTTAATATTTTAATATATTAAAATTATAACAGTTTTTCATCTAAATTCACATATAAAAATTTTTAAACAGTTCTAAATTAAAATTTTTAATAGTAATGAGTCCAAAATCACAAATAACTCTAAATATAGAATTATTATGGAAATAATAATTCATGGAACATTGGGATTCAAGGCTAGGAAAGATAGGTTGTCTTTCGTTAAAGAAATCGGACTTAGAGAAACACTCTAATCCGACTAATAGATAAGATAGATAAGGATAA